TTTTCTATATCTTAAGAAGAAGAAAAAAAAAAATTTACAATGTGCAGGAATCAATTCTGAAATATGTATATAATTCCGATCAATCAATTCATTTAGCATACTTGAAATTCCAAAATTTGTTAATTTAAGAATCCAATTTGTATCAATCATACAAGTTTTCAATGACAACATTCCATGATAACCAATCGATGATTTATGCAAATATTGTAATCCCTAAAATATATCAATTTAATTTTTGCATTAAACTTTGCAAATTAATTTTAAAATCAAAAATGTGATAAACCATTTTTTGAAACTTTTTTTTTGTTTTTTTTACTCCTCCCGAAAACTGCAACAACTGTTGCTTATTAAAATATTAAATGATAATATCAATAATAATAATGCTGATAAAATACTAAGTGATAACATTGACAAAATAATAGATGATAATATTGATAAAATACCGAATGATAGTATTTATAATAGTAATATTGATAAAGTAAATGATAACATTGATAAAATACCAAACAATAGTATTGATAACAATAATAATATTGACAAAATACTAAATAATAATATTGATAAAATACTAAATGATAACATTGATAAAATATTAAATGGTAATATTGATAATGATAACAATACTGATAAAATACTAAGTGATAACATCGATGAAATACTAAATGATAACATTGATAAAATACCAAATGATAATACTGATACTAACCTTTAAAATATCTCTGATAAAAGCACATTTAAATGTATTATCCACATTAAATTTTTGATCATAAATAAAATCTTCCAATGATGCACGTTCGATTAATGTATATAATACATAAAAACGATCCAAATCATTGTAACAAATTCCAATAAAATTTGTTAAATTATTTTGATTCAATGATTTCAATTCGTAAAGAAATTTCAATTCCACTTTATTCCATGGAATTCGTTTATTTTGTTTAAAACACATAAATTCAGCTTTTAATGTACCAACCAATGCATAGGAATCCAATTGTCGCCGTTTATAACTTAAATTATCACTTACTGCATGTCCTTTTGACTAAAATAAACTAAATTTAATAGAGATAAAGAAGGAAAAAAATATCCCTTTTTAGTTAAATTAATAAAATTTGATACGTGGAAAAGATTTTTTCATATATAAGAAAAAAAAAAAAAAGAGAAATTAAATAACCCGTTTAGTTTCAATAACTTTTAAATTCTCTTTTGAAATCCTCCAAAACATTCGATACATTTCTAAATGTTTCCTAAAATATTACCATCCTAAATTATCAAAGAAAATATTAAAATTATAAAATTTCGAAAAAAAAAATGCATTTTTTTCTGAAAATTGAACTGGACCACTAGATTTGAAAAAACCGATCAATAATATTACCTAACCTAAAATTGAAATACCTAACTTCTCATTGTAATTTCGATGAAAGATGTCTTAAAATTCACATAAACTTTAAGCTGAAAGCAATAACAATAGATAGAATGTGATAAGATATGATATGATATGATATTAATGCAATATGAACCCTTTCACTTATCCAAAAGTTAACTCTTCAGCATTTTTATACTTTATATTTTAAAGTATAACTTATAGCTATTTCATTACTTTCTTTGATATAAGTACCAAATGATTGAACCGAGCACTATACCAAATGCGGAACCGATTGCCATTAGTGGAAAAGTGGGAAAAAATGACTTGTCACATTTGATGCATCTGATTGTGACATTTTTGTAATTATTCCAGAAATTCTTCATCTGTAACTTCCATTTCCTGTAATGTACATTTTCATTTTTCTTTTTTTGCGCATTATTTAATTAGTAATAAAACAAATAAACAAATATGATTATAATATTCAAAAAAAAAGAATGATTAATAGAATTAATAATTCTTGATATTCTTTTATATCTAACCGTATCCGGCATGACAATTTATACCTAAATTCTAAATAATAATAGAATTAATAATTCTTGATATTCTTTTATATCTAACCGTATCAGGTGCACAATTATACCTGAATTCCAAACAAATCCATTTACTTTTAATTATTGTAAAAGTTTAAAATAATTAAAAAAAGACAGAAAGAGAAAAAGTAGTCACCAAATCGAAGCATTTATTTTCATTTGTACATGATGCTTCAATCATTGATAATTTCATAACTTGTTGAAATTTATCATTTTCTGATGATAACCATTGAAATGCATAATTTTGTAAACGTTTTGCTATTCCATCTAATGTGACATTTCCAAATATATCTGTAATAAAAATGAAATAATCTTACTTTTATAATTATTCAATCTTAGTAATAATACATTTCTTAGATTAAAATATTCAAAATTGTTTGGTTGATTTATTAATATTAATTGCTAATTAATTAGCAATCATTGGAAAATATACAACGATACATAATTACAAATTTTGTTCAGTTCTGCTGTATGAGCAATCAAAGATTAAAGATTGAAGAATTAAAGATTGAAATCAAAGATTAAAAGTAAAAAAAAAATGAATGTATGTTGCAAACTAGTGAAATGTTGATTTCTCATCGATTGCGCAAATTTTTTGCCATCTAACACTGAGCTCTGTTTAGTACCAAAACAAAAACCATAACATGCATCATACATTGTCACATACATCTCTATTTCCTCCTATAAAGGAATATGTGAAGTTTTAATCTACAGTATCAAACAACCATCGTTTCTACAGTATCAAATATCAAGTAACAAACATTCATATGCAATTAACACTAAAACAGTTTTGTTAAGTGACTTTCTGCAGTACAATGTATTACCACGATATTAGCTTTGTCTAATGCGATAATTACCATAACTATCCTACTGTATCCTATTCCATTTTCCATTTCCTTTACTAGTTTTATTGTTGCAAAAAATGCACCTTCTTTACCGTAAAATTGAGTCGTTCGTTGAGTTTATCTTCCATCAATTTATATCTTTCAATTATTGGAGCTAACTAAAAATGATCTCATTTATCAAATTAACAAAACTGATTATTAAATTATCAAAA